ACAAATTTTCCAGTTACTCCGACTTTTACTGCATGGCCGGTGGTCATCCTGCTGCCAATCCTGCCACTCGTTTTGTCTACCGAAAAGATTACCGGATTAGCGGTTCCTCCGACAGAAGCATTTGGCAAGCATTCGCCTTTTCGAAATGTCCTTGGTGTTTGTTAAGCACCAATTTTGTCCCAGAACCACGAAAGGAGGACACATTTTATGCTGCATTGCTGGTGGTCAATCTGCCGCCAATCCTGCCGTTCGTTTTGTCTACCGAAAAGATTACCAACCAGGAGGGCACATTTTATTAGATAGAAAATTGCAAAAACTCTGTGGTTTTTATTAACTATTAATTAGAAAGTCTTAATTGATAAATATACGTGGATGGACGGAGCATCTCGTTGAGCGTTGCGGTGGACTGATTTGTTGACGGCACCGAAAATATCGTACTTGCATTTCGAGAAGGCAAGTTCGGTGGGTCACGTGTGGAACCTGAAAAGTCCTCACGGGAAATCATTTCCCAAAAAAGCACAGTTTAGATATTGTTTTGCTGCTCAGTCGCATGCAGATAAAAAAAAAGAAGGCGAAATTTGCCTTAATTGAAGAAAGTCATGATTTCTCCATGAACTGGCAGTATTTTGAATTTTTTATCAAATTAAAGATTTTATTCATTAAAAAAAGCACTTTTCAACTGGAAAATTCATAAAATTACGATTGTAGATAGTGCTATTTCGTGAAGCAGAGCATATTAAAAAAATTTAAAACATCTCTTCCCAGTTTTAGAATCAAATTTGGTATTTCAATCCAAAAGACTTTTAAAGGGATCCGAGAAACCAAAACGGTGTTGTGAATGGTGAATGATATCCCTTCTGTAATTAATTTTCGAGAATTTAGAAAATAATTAAAAAAATTTTTGCCAATAGAAACTACTCGCCTATTACATAATTTGAATAAAAAAATACCGGAACCGAATCATCGAGACTGAGTGAAAATGGTACTGAGATTAAGGAGGAAGTTAAGCTTGGTTCGGAGTACATCAAGCGCCACCAGATTGACGATCATGAACCAGCAGGGAGTTTTCAGCGCATTCGCACTCACGTCTTTCACCAGTGCCACCCGTACGCACGTTTTTTGGAGTAATTCCGGGACGTTTGGCTCCGAACGCTCCAATTCCTCCTCCACAGCCAAGCTGAACAGACGCATGTCGAAAATCTACAATTAAACTACGCATGAATTATGAAAGAGATAAGCGGGATTATTCTGAAATGAGCAGTGGCAACTGACTGGACCTTTCCAGATTAAGAATATTACTGATTTGTGGAAATGAACCAAAGAGGTGCCACTGCTGTCACGCATGAGAAAAAGGGCGTACTTCTGATCAGCCTAGCTTGTAAATTTCCAACATCTCGAACCCATAGTTCTATCTTGAAATTTTAAAACTAGGCTAAATTTCGAGCTGAACTCAAGCATCAGAACAAGAAAGGAAATATGAATCTGTTCTGTCGCATAATCACTGAAAATTATGTTTCCAAATGTTGAGCTCGTTTCGTATTTTGTTCTGGAACTGCTAGGCGGCACGAATTTGGACCCAAGATCATGTGGCAAGTGAAAATGAACACAAATATGCCAATGCGAAAACTCCTAAAAATACAAATTTTGGAGGTATAAAGATATTTCGGCTCATTTAAAAATATCTTTAAGAGTAGTCTCGAATTAGTTTCTCTTCCAAAGATAACTTTCCAAATCAAAAAAGTAATAAGCGTAGGCGTTTTGCAGTATGTTAAAATCCAATTAATTTGC